CAACAGCAGTGGCAGCCGAAATTAGGATGAGCATTCGATATTGAACCCTCGTATTCGTGGCATTTCATTACAGTTTGTCTTGGTTCACAATCACATTAAAGTTAGGCGTACTTTTACATCAGTTGGGGAAGTTCTGTATCCCCACTCCGGAAGTTCTCCGGAAGTACGATGACTCGTATCCGCGATATTGAGGTCATAAATCTCGACATCCTCATTCAATCAATCAAAGAAGTTGAAACGCGTGAGTAATATCATGAGACAGAGGACGCGCGAGGAAGGGACCGCAACGTCATGAAAGTGAACCATTTCTACCATTCTCTGTATCAGCCTTCCGTTCTACGGGACCGGACAAACGACTCGTTGCCCGAAACATTGTAGTGTACCCAAAGAACAAGTCCTGAGAGATAGACCAAAACACCGGCTGAGGCGTATTATTGGTAATTCTTTCATAACTAATACAGTTACAAATGTGCAAAGCGAAAAGAAGGAACGTAAAAGAGAAGTACTAATCAGTAATGGCAACATAACAGGAACAATAGATGTGACAAAAACAGATTGCGAACAAGAATTACCTAACTCCAGACGTAGCAAACGAGCTTGTTAACCTACAAGTCAGAACCAGATCTTTGAGAATGCCGGTCATCAAGGGATCATGGATTACAGACTTACGGTACAGCTGAGTGGTGCAAATGGAGCAATGGTACCAGATCGTGTGTGAATGGTACAAGCGTTCAGAAATGACCGAATACCACAGATCATGAACAGGAAAGTTCGCAGGATTTTTCACTTACGGGGGCACGGGCTTTATGAAGGAATACGCTGCTTTAGCGTCGTTCAGAATATATGTGGACTAATGTTTATATCTGTATGAAAGTGGAAATCAGATGCATGATTCTGAGGAAACTGTTGGGAAATGGTTCTGATCTGACTGGGCAAAACGCTACTCTAAAGGTATCCTAATTTGGAGACAAACACCATCTGGTCTGCACAGGTTTACTGGTACTTGTGCACTGGTTTGCTCTAGATGAAGAGAATGACTTATGATAAATCTGGGACCGTTATGAGACATCAATAATCCTGACAAGTGTTGCCGAAGCCTTATTTTTTCTATCGCGCGGATGAAAACAACAATATATAAAAAAGAAACAAATGATAACTAACGTCTAAACCATTATTTCAGAGTTTTATACGTCTGTCTCGTTTATCTGAACAGCTTCACTGTTCAAGACAAGTTTGGAATCATATTGATGCAAATTTATATTAATGAGTTAATGTACATCACACAAATGTACATAAACAATGCCACAAGGATCTGAAGTACCATATTAATTTGGGAAAATATAATGTATTTGATTAACTCTACAGCCTGGAAAAATTCCTGGTTTACTCTACGATGTTAAAAAAGAAAGGAAAGTTTACAATCGTTAGAAGGTTGGTATTTCTCACAAGTTCGAGAATGAGAATTTGTGGCGCCTTTCCTTTCACGCAGCCAGCGCTGTTATGCCGATCCTCGTTTCTCTGCCATAAGCCAGGAACGTCTTACATGTTTAAGGAAGAGTCGACAGAAAGGCACAATGTGCACCTACCTTCCCACATGACAACAGCCATTAATCACCTTTGCAAGGAAGAAAAGCTAGTGGCCCAACTGTGGTTCGAACCCGGGGCCTCCCATTCCGAGTTCAATGCTCTACCGACCGAGCAACCATGATCTGAGAATTTAAACAAAAACAAGATCACCGTTACATATACAGATTATTTCCTTTAGTTAAATACAATTATATTAGGACAATACACAATGCAGACAATCGTAATGATAGTCTTAGGAACCTAGAGGAAACTAAACCCAAGAACATCAGTAGAAGTATGACGATATAAAGTTGGCCACAAATCTAGGCTACGTTACTCAATTCGTGGGAAACGGCAATGTTCACAAACTATGAACAAATCTAAACATAAAATTCACTGAATGAAGAATATTTACACAGTCCAGAGTTTTTTTCATGCAGATTAGATCGTGCTGGAAAGCAACAGGAAAAACCCAAGTTCGAGTAGAGAAAGGAAGCGAGAATTCGAGGTACATTGTTTCCAGTCAAACTATTAAACCTTTATTTTTGAATATCATCGAAAGACCAGCAGAGACGATTGTACAACTTGCCAACAACATCGCATGACGGTTGGAACAGATCCAGATGATGATCTTTGATGTGGAAAACGAGTGAAGCTTTTTACGAATGCCTTACTCCGGGCTGTCGCCCAGTGCTGTGGTTCAAAACGGATTGGTGGACATAAGAGGTTCAGCTGGCTGTCACGGAGAAGAGTGTGCTTTCCAGAGGTAGTGGCTTGGAAGCAAAAAGCTTCCAAACCGAATACTGTACGAAGAAGCGCGTAAAGCGGCAGCCGAAGCGAAAGCTG